GGGGGGAGGGGGGAGGCTGGGAAGGGATGTGAAGGGTAAACAAAGGAGGAGGCTGCAATGCTTGGTAAGAAATGTACGCATTATCCTGCCCATGTATCTGTACAGTATGTTCACAAATAAAATAAAAATTAAAAAAAAAAAGAAAGAGGAGGAGGAGGAGGAAGAGGTGAGATAGTAGTAGTAGTGGTGGTGGAAAAGGAGGAAGAGGAGGAAAAAGAAAACAGAAGCCCCCTAGAGAAATTCTAGCAAGATCATAAAGAAAACTGAAGAGGGTAAAGAGTTTGGGGAAATAGAGAATAATTAACTCTATAAAACAATGGTTAGTGTTGAGACTAAAAAAGGGACTTTCAGGTAGTGTCAGTTTGTTGGTGTTCTGACACTGGAGACATAGAATGAATTCCTGAAGCATAATTAAATTAGATCTGTGATATATATATATCACAAGTATTAACTTCCTCTGGTTCAGGAATGCATGGAATGACTTGCTTACTTATAAATTTAGTTTAGCATTCCTTAGTGTTCTTAAAGCTCACTAGGAAATAAAAGATCAACATAACAATCTCTAGTATCGATCCCTCTAGTTTTAGGAAATGGGGCTACTATACTAGAGCAACTCACCCAGCCTTCCATTATAAGTAAGGTCAAATAAAGGAACAACAGCCCACATGATTCCCTCTCCAGCAGAATGTACTTATAGGTAAGATTAGGCCAAACAATAGTTTTATTTGAACCACATAGCACTTTATCAGTCTGTGAGCCAATATTCAAAACTTAAATATACCCCATAAAAGCTAGCATTTATAGAAAAATCTACCAAACTGGACTGCAGCTGAGTAACAGCTGCCCCTTTGGCCATGAGCTCTTCATTTTCTCCTGTGTCCACAGAATCTATGTCACTAGCATTGTTGTCCTCTGTAAGTTTCCAAACTTTGAACCAACTCAGGGACACCTTTATTTTTTCACTCCAAGTCAAAGTACATGAAACAGAGTGTCTTCTAAGACACGCATTTGAACCTGTAAATAATTTTTAGATTGCTAGTATATACTTGAATACATTTTAATTAAGTTTAAGTAGTATCAAATGATTTAAATTTTGCTGGTTTATAAATTTTGATGTATGAAGATAGGAATTTTATATTATTTTTAAAACTACTCTGAAGTTGCCTCAGTACCTTACTAATTTGATACCTACTGTTACTCATCTTTAAAAATGTATGCAAAGACTGGTCTTTTGCAGTTTGGAAATTATACATCGTTTTCTTTTCTCTCTTAACTTTTGTTTCCATTTTACTTCCTGTGCATAACTTTGTCTTACCATACTGTTTCATGCTTGAAATCCATTCATTTCCCTCTCCTAAGACTTCTTCTTTGTCCAGATCAAACTATTATAGGCTCCAGGGTCTTAGTTACTTTTTCTTAGTAAAATAGCCATTATCTTACCAGTTTGCTCAAGGTTTTTCCGAAGCAGACAGTAGTGTTTTCCCAGCAGAGAAGCATGGATCCTTTGTTCTTTGAAGGCCTAAAGTCTTTAGGATTTTCTTCAAAAATATTACTTTCAGATGACAAGCAAGTATCATTACAATTCAAGGGAGTGGGGTGAAAAGAATGACTAATAGTTTGCAGGGGAATTTTTTTTTGTTTTGTCTTGTTTTTTTTTCATTCTTTATGCATAAATGCAAGCCTAGGGTTGCCTGGTCTTAGAAAATAAGAACTTTTCAATTTTAACAGTTTACTAATTTTTTTTTAATGCATTGTCATCCAGGCATTGGTGGTTCATGCCTGTCATCTTAGCTACTCAGGACGTGAGATTTGAGGATCACTCTTCTAAGCCAGCTGGACATGAAACTCCATAAGACTCTCATCTCCAATAAATTACTGAAAAAACAAACAAAAAAGCAACAACAACAAAAGAGCCAGAAGTAGCACTATGTCTCAAGTGGAAGAGTTCTCTCCTTGAGCAAAAGAAGCTCAGAGACAGTATCCAGATGCAGAGTGCAAGCCCTAAGACTGGCAAAAAAAAAAAAAAAAAGACAACCATTGTTATTGGAAATATTCTTAAATATTTCACATTTTAGTTGGGTAATTTATTGGAGATAAGAGTCTCATGGACTTTCCAGTGTGGGCTGGCTTAGAACCATGATCCTTCTGGATTTGAGGAATGGTTAAAGGAATACACAGGGATGTGTCTTAATGAATCCAGGCTGGAATTAACAAGGTAACATAGCACCCATCAGAGACCAGATCAGTTTGGGAAGAAGCTCTCCAATGAGCCAGGGTTGGAAAACACCTGTGAGTGGGCTACAGCCAGACAATGGAGCATGGTGAAAGCCGAAGCTGGCAATTCCAGCCTAGATGCAGGTGGCAGTAAGACTGATGTTTGCCCTGGAGAAGCAAAGGGCAATGAGTGTGGAGTGGTCCAGAGGAGGAGATGTTGAGAGTTGGGAAGCAAAGCCTGGTTTACCAACATCTCCATTGTCTGAACCCTCGTAGTGTTCACAGTCCCCTATGAGCCACAAGAAGGACAATCTAAAATAACAAGTACATAATCTAACAAAAATGTTAAGAGAACTGTTATATTTCATAAGTAAGAGAGGCAATGCCTGAGTTGATGGGGTTTTTGTGATGTCTTGGTTTTTATCTGGGTGCTGAGGATTGCATGTGAAGGACTTGCCTCTCCCCTCTCAGCCTAGTCTTTTTATGTATCCAAAGATGGAATATGAGGATTGATTCTCGCCTTATTCCTCCGGGTCAAGCAAAGCACCAGGTGTGTGCTCACATGCTTGTCCTCAGGTGGGCTGTTCTGACCTTGGTTTAACTGAAAGCCCCTCTTACCCCAGGTAGAATATTCATTCCACGCAGGCCCTGGCCAAGGACACCATCCTTGGCCCCAAAGAAACCATAGATCTTTTTTTTTCTTTTTCTTTTTTTAAATTTTCTACTTCCTTGTTAAGACCTATAAAAACCCACCCCCAAATCCAGGCCCTTACACAACCTCCAAACCCACAGGGAGGTCAGTGTCCCTCACTGGTAATAAATAGTCATAGCCTGTTGACTATTGAGTCCAGCCTATTCCTTTTCCATTCTCCTCCATTTTCCTCACAGCTTATGCTAGATTCGTGCTAATGTGACTTAGCTATAGCCCCAGCTGAGTGGATGGTGGCAGAGGCCTTAAGCTGCTCAGCAGCACTAGCATCATATAGTGTTAGCTGGAGAGCAATCAAGAATCCAGTGGATCATGTTGGCTTTAAAGCAAGGCTCAAGGCAGGGCCACCAGTGCTGAAATAGCTGTAAGAGATGTAAGAAAAAGCAGAAGAGAAAAAGCAGGAAAAAAAAAAGAAAAAGAATGAGCTGGAAAGAGCCAGCTCATTAGAGGAAGAGACGGACAAGTGATGTACATGGCAGAGAAGCAAGAGTTTTAACAGCAGCCTTTAAGTGACTTGCTATGAAGGACAGAGACCCAGGAGAGGGAGCACTTGGCTAGAAGGAGGATCAGTAGGCTCCTACTTCCTTCTCCAAACAGGTTATGCTGAAGCTAAATCATCATCTTCCCATGGCTGCCTACTTCAGAATCGCGGATCCACTATCACAGGGAGGGATGTCTCCACCTCTCTACAAGCGTGTGCGTGCACGTGTGTGCGCACGCACACACCCACCCACCACTGGTTTCACACTTCTCTCCTTTTTTTGCTGAGTGGAGTAATGAGTATAGGAGAGGGGCTGGGATCTGTAATGTCTTGCTGATTCATGCCAGCACAACCTCTGACCACATCCCATTTCTCTCTGCATGTGTGTGTGTGTGTATGTGTGTGTGTGTGTGAGAGAGAGAGAGAGAGAGACAGAGACAGAGACAGACAGACAGACAGACAAAGGAAGAGAGAAGACTACATGAGAGTTTACCTGTTCGATGTTAATCTGGCATAGTTTGAAGTGCTCTGAATTATACTGAGATGGGGGAGGGAGAGTTGTTGCATAGTGGAACTTCCTGCAAGGGGAGATGTTGGCCTTGCCTTCAGTGAACAGCCCTGGAGCTTCCTGGGATTCCTGGGCCGATGTTTTGTACTGTATTACATAACTGCCTTTATCTTGGGATCAATCTGATCTTTTAAAGTGCTGAAGAAGTCCAGGCGTCACCCTCCCCCACCCAGCCACTGACAGACAGTCACCCGGGATGGAACTGCTGGAGGCCATGGAGATTGTGGGGTGGAGGTTTCAGGTGTTCTAACAACAAATGCCAACCCCTGGCTGGAAAAATTCAATAACCTGCCTGATTTCCTGCTGTGATAAACCCTTGACTGAGAAGCCCTGCTCTCTGGTTCTCTCAGTAGATTACACCTGTCCACACTGTGGAAACAAGCATATATTTACACCTTTAAATGTTAACTTCTCCTTTTAAAAACTACCTATATAGCTTTGAGGGTTTTTTTTGTTTGTATTTTTACTCATACAGAAATAAGTATCTTCACCCTTAATTCATTAAAGTAGGGCTGGAGGTGTGGCTCAAGAAGCAGAGCATTTTGTTAAACACAAGCAAAAGGCCCTGAGTTCAAACCCCAGTCACATTAAAAGAAGAAGAGGATAACTCATTTTGTTAATAGTTTTGGATTTTGTGTTTTTTCTCTTTCCATTGCAAGGTGCTGGTCTCAGTGTCAGTGACAATGAATCTGGTCAAGGCAGCCAGGAGGGAGGCACGTTGACTGACTCACAGATCGTGGAACTCAGAAGGATACCCATCGCTGACACCCACCTCTGACAGCCTCACTAATCTTTACAACAGGATAGCTTCACATTTGTCCTGGACTTTGTACCCTAGTAGTATCTACAGCCATGTACTGGGAATCTGTGTACTGTACTGAATGATTAGCATGAATGTGACTGCTATATTTGGAATAAAAATTACTTATATACATATGCAATGGTTATCGTGAAAGACTGATCCATTTACGAATGACTAGGATGCATCTATTCTAATAATATTAGTGGCTGTTTAATCATCCTATTTAGCTAACACTGTTTAATGAAAGTAATAATCAATAAAAAAAACAATAGAATACATTTGGTATCGCTCAGGCTCATTATTTATTAAGAAATGGGCACAAGCAAACTATCTACATGATGACAAGCATCTATTTCTTCTATCCTTGATAAAGTGATTTCGACTCAGGTCTTCTCTAAATCTAGAAAACTTTAATCCCTGGAAAATGTAAAATGAATAGTCTGTTGATCCTTCACCTACGTGTGGACCAGGATGCTACAGCTGGCTTAGTGGTCTATCAACTAAATATGTTTCTGCTCATTTTAAAATTAAGGATCAGAATGCTTTCCAGAATGAATGTTCTGTCCCCAGTTAAAAATAACTCCCCCTGGCTAAGAGCAGGATCATCCAAACAGTACAGTCTGCTTCGGAGAAAACTTCCTTGGTTTGGAATTTTCAGTCTTTCTTTGTCTTGGAATAAGAAATCAGAAAGTAGATCCTAGAACACTGTTGTGGTTGAGATGACCTCATTGGCTATCATTCCAGAAGATTCATTCAGAACAGACAATGTTGTTCGGAGGAAACCTCTTTGACCTTTTGTTTGAGGAGTCTTTAGTATTTTTGAAAAAAATATAAGTATCATCTCAAAAAGAAAAAAGTAATTTTTTAAAAATCAAAGAAAGTTCTTTTCTATCAATAATTTCCTTTAAAGCTATAATTAAAGCATCAGAATGATGTGCCTTTGCTCTCAAGTATGGATTTATGAGCTGGACAGAGGTGGTTAACACTTACAATACTATCTACTCAAGAGGCTGAGACCTGAGAATCAAGGTTCAAAGCCAGCCTAGGCAGAAAAGTCTATGAGACTCTTATCTCCAAATAGCCAGAAAAAAGCCTGGAGTGGAGGCATGCCCCAAGTAGTTTAGTGCCAGCCATGAGCACAAAACCCAAGTAAGAACATTTGGTCCTGAGTTTAAGGCCTCCTATTGGCACTATTGTACAAGAAGAAAAAAAAGGAGGAGGAACAGGAAAAGCTTTATGCTTTATGAGGTGGTATTATTTATCTCGATAAACTTCAAAGTAACTCCTCTTTTTGAGAGATCTCCCCATACCCATTTCCTCCATCTTATATTGTTTTATTTGAATGTAGAGAAAAAAAAGGCCATATCTTTGATGGACATCTAATTCTTTGGGAGAGACTTTAGAAATCTTAGTAATAACAATGAATTTAAGTGACAAGTTAGTTATGTCTTTTAACCTTACAATACTGCACTGTAGTCTGCTCCATAAAGAAGTTATAATAGATAAAACGAAATGTGAGGGGCTGGGGAGTTGGCTCAGTGGTAGAGCACTTGCCTCACATGCATGAGGCCCTGGGTTCGATTCCTCAGCACCACATAAGCAAAAAAAGCCAGAAATGGCACTGTGGCTCAAGTGGTAGAGCACTAGCCTTGAGCTGAAGAGCTGAAGGACAGTGCCCAGGCCCAGAGTTCAGGCCCCACGGTTGACAAAAAAAAAAAGGAACTAAAATTTAAAAAAAAAATTTAAAAATGGAATGTGAAAAATTTGAAACTGGGAAGCATGTAAAAATTATCAGTAGATTTTACTGGCTTTGGGTTTAGGTAAATGATTACAGAAATATAAAAGCACATTGCATGCAATCCACATGTTTTACATTTTTGCAAGATTCCTAGATATCTAGCTATCTAAAAAACTCAATTGTTGATCTTTTTTTTTTCTTTCATTTGTTCATGCTTTCCAGATTTGGAAAAAGAAGCAAGCAAGGTTCTTTTTCTTCTTCCAGATTATTAAGATTACTATTGCTGTTTTGCCACCTATCTTGATAGAAACAAAAGAAAACCTGCCTTGTTCTTTTAAATGTTGGAAGGAAAAAACAAAGTTTTAGAATCCACAGTAATAGAACGAGTAAGCTTCACATACCAACAGCTTTAGTAGGCTAGAGTTTCCTCCACAGAGTAGACTGCAGTGGGATCCTGCTGAAGGAGGGCAGGAATATGTAGGAAGAGGTAAGTTACCCAAGTGCAGAGGATGAAAACAGAATGACACCCCTTTTCTTTTCTTTTCTTTTTCTTTCTTGGGCCTGGTGGTGGGGCCTGAACTCTGGGCCTGGGTGCTGTCCCTCAGCTCTTCAGCTCAAGGCCAGCACTCTACCACTTGAGCCACAGCGCCACTTCCGGCTTTTTTCTTTTTGCTTATGTGGTGCTAAGGAATCGAACCCAGGGCCTCAGGCATGCAAGGCAA